AAGATAGTTCCCTGTGGAAATTAACATTTATACTTACAAAGTTATGAATTTCTGAACAAATTTTAAACTAATGTCTCATTCTACTACTAAGCAGTATTAAGTTGAACGCAAGCAAAACATTTGTGACATGGTTAGACATTAGTTAAGGAAAGAAATAACGTTTTATTCACCAAAATATATCCTAAGTGTTTCGTCAGTGACTGTTTTATGTACACATAAAAACGAGTAATATCGCAGGAATCTTTATTCATTATCAATCTGCCAAATCACCACTGAACTGGAATTTACTGATTGTTAGTCAAACCCATATGCCTTTTCTTAATAATATCGTTTTAAGCTTGCTAATATAAAATAATTCCAAGAAAACTTGTCGACAATAGTGTTCACAAAATGATAACAGTCGGTCTTTAATGATGGAAATTAGTGCTGACAACATGTGAATAGCGAATGTTTGTAAGTTATCCGAGTATTATTTAAAGGCAAACTCAGAATCCATCGACATAAAAATATCAAACCGACAAGAAAATCAGAGGTGCACATAGGGACAGTTTCGAAAAAATCTAGGTTTTCCTAAATTTTATTCTAACCGGTGCACGTCCAACAAGGCTGTGATACTATTTTGCACTCCTTGAGTTACCAACATCGCATGCTGAAAATCTCGAAGTTGTAGGAAAAGACTATATGGAATCAAGTTATCATATAAAAATGACTGAATTAAGGTGAAAAGTATTCAGACAGAACAGATGATACATCAGGCACATTTGCGTCAAATACAGAGCAGTTCACGTTCGAATTAGTGAGGTGAATGGACACTGTACCCTGTGGATGTTAGTAAACGTGAACAGGGCACATTGTATATTTGGCTGTTGTCACAGACTTTCAGGTTCAATATTTCTTTTTTATTATTAGCTTATTTTTGTTTCTATGTATAGCTTCTTTTTCCTGTCCTTCATTCTCCCATGGGTTGGCTTATACATGTACTGATTAGTTCCAACTTATCGAAGAAATGAAGATTTATTTCGGAGTAATTTTGATAATTTTCTGAGTAACATTTGATTTGATTTACATCATTCTGAATGATACTAATCCTTCCATTATTGTTTTTCATTAGATTTTCTGAAAACCTTTCCAAATGATTTTTCATGTATTTCACTATTTTCCACATGACTCAGCTATAGCAGTTCACAAATTGCATAGCAAATGATCCATCATCTGGACTTTGTTTAACTGAGTGCCATTTTCTAATCAGTAAACACACCCTTCTCATACATCTGAGAGCATACAGGGGAATTGTTGACTACATCCCTTGAATTTGTAGACTTCACCAATGAAGGACCTAGTTAATGTCTGACAGCAACCTGAATCAATATACTGATAGGTGAAATTTTGTTTTCTACACAGTTTCCATGTTCATCGACATGGAAGACTCTTTCAGGACTAGGTGAGAAAAATAAGGTTTTCCTTACTGATGGACTAGGAATTCAATTATCGTTGTCGGATTATTAGCAAAGAGAAAAATACTGGAAAGCCGTAGTAATTAAGACTAATGACATGAATAGTAATAGTCACTTAATTCCAAACAGAATTGTTTTTACAGGTTGGGATTAACCCTCATTTTATACATGTTGCAGCAATTCAGCTCCTTTGATAGATATGTAGATACACAAAATCGGAAAGATACTAATGATGAAACCACAAAAATCTAAGAGTTGATGGTAATATAATGAATTATTAAAAAGTGATAGTATCAGAGGTGACACATGCAAAAATGATCTTTGCTCATACTTCCAAGTTCAGTAACTAATTTCAAAAGCTTATGATTTATTTCTCGACATCTGACTCTTCACACAAAACCTGACATTTTTACTGTTTGGTGGAATTTGTATATGAATGTGTACTAATATTAATTTGTCTGAAGTTTCTTCTGGTCTCGTCTGAGGATTTACAAGGAGACAGCTGAGAACAATGAGGATGTTCAACATCAGACGAAATAACGTTAGGAAACTGCTTGCAAGAATTCAGGTGCCTATTGACAATGGTGCCTGTAAGTTGACTGGTCAAAAGGACACTGATAAGCCTACTCACAGCCTTCAGTGTTCTACGTAATGTGATGCAATCTCTTTTGAGAAGACCGTGGAAGAATCATTGTGAGCACTGGAGGAGAATGGGCAGAATACTTGAGTTAACAAATTGTAGGAGAAGAGGCTGAGTTATTACAGAAAGTGTCAACTCCTTTATGTAATAAGTCAGACGAAGTGTGTTCTTTGAAATCAACAGGATATGAGACGACCAACAGAGGTTTGAGGAGAAATTGACGCGGAGATGAGAGATATTCCATTTACTCCCTATCACAGTGACGTCGATATTACAGGAATCATCAGACTAAATCACTCAGTCGACACAACTGCTTTTCGTATGTGAAACTGAAATCAGCAAATGACATTTAGATGGATTCGGTGGAAAACCATGTGTGTAAGACTACTTGTTAACTTCAGATAAGAATATGTTCATATAGGAACAACCCGGTGAAGAAATTCCTGCGGCTGCGATGGTTAGATCGTCAGCATATTTAATGAAAACAGGTTTGAAAGAGTACGAAGGATAATGCAAATTGGAAGAAAACAGCAATGGAGAGAGTGCTGCACCACTGAGGCTCGCTCGTTTCCGTTAGCAACGTAGTGAAAGGCTTTCCATTCATTACACAATGTTATTTTCTTCGCGGAAACTATGCTGACAGCCAGCTAATGACCTGGGAATCAGTGTTTGCTGCATACAGCTTACTGAATAAAGGTGCTCTGACAACACAGTCAAAAGCAGCAGTGTAGTCTGAGAAGGAGAATCGAACAAACTTTGAGCCTTCCTAGAAACGTGAATCAATATCCTGATAGAGTACAATTAGAGCATCTGATGTGCGTCCATTGCATTTGTATGCCGAATCCTCCTGGTCTCTAAAAGATTTCAGATAAGGTTTAGGAACATCCAAGTGAAGTTTTTCCATAGTTTTTTTAAAGATGGAGATGTGCAAGCGTTTGCCCCAAACATTAGACCTGATTTAGATGATTTTGATACAGAGACCACCTTTATTTCTTTCTAGGCAACAGGTAATGTATCCCTGTGAAAGGAAACATTAAAGATTTGCGCGAGAGAATAACGCAAAATATCAGCACAACTTTGCAGCGAAATGCTCGGTACACCATCGGGACCTGGACAGTGTGATGGATTTAAAGATTTGAGGCATATAGATACATCCCTTTGAATAAAATAAAAGGAATGATAATTTATGTGATAAGAAACATCATATTCAATCGTATTATTTTCTGCATCACAAAGATCTATTTCAGTTATTTTCATCAGAATAAGCGTCAGTCGTGGTTTCCCAGCCTGTATGTTCATATAAAAGATTTTAGATGTTACAAGCATTGTAACATGATTAACATCCTTCATTATATACCCCATTCAGCTTTTGTATTTCATACGCCAGCAGATTCATTCGATTTATTCAGGTCCTGTTATTCTCTTCTAGGCTTTTTAGTTGTTGAGAAGAGATCCTATCAATTCTCATAAACGATATTTCGGTGGGATGGCAAATGTTCCAACAGAAAGGGAGACAACAACCTCGGAGATTTCGTGAACGAATAGGTCTCGGTCAGTATCATGCAACAAATATCTTAGTGCTAGAATATTGTTACGTGTATAGATCATTCTTAGATTTCTTTGTCAGGTAAACAAAAGACCATCCGCACAACTTTCCATATACAATTTTAGTAAATTGAGAATAATACAGTGATCAGAATTCAGCAGTGGAGCTCTCTTTCGCACCTCGTATATGTCATGGTTGTCTATGAAACCAAGTCTAGGGTTTCGTCCATATGAATATTGAATTCGACCAGGCTCTCATGACCAAGTGATATGAGAAAGCTGTGATTGCAAGAAATAAAGCCGCGTCAGAATATGGACCAGGAATTTTCGAAGCCAATTCAGTAAATTCATCTGCGAAGATAGATATATATCAGAGGAACCGTAGTCTGTAGTCATATAAACATTAACTTAAGAGCTTTGGACGACACTGACAGTGATACAGTCTATATGTTCACTAGAAAAGTTGAAACAAACACAATTAGATGCCGTCCACTTTGTATCCGTAAAAGTGACTTCCCATCTGCCATGCTGTTTCCTTGAACTATGTGCGTCCTAATGGCAGAATGTATATCCATTTATCGTCAAGTAGCTAGTAGAGCCAAGTTTTTTGTTTAGCTAAAGCACCAGCATTTTGATACATATTAGAGGTGCATCAGAGATTAGAGATAATGCAATTTTTTGAGCAGAGACCTACAGTTAGCACTAACAACTTCGGAGAAAGTCATACGATCTGTTTGTGTAAGCTTACATGCTCGCTACCAACCGCAGTGACGACGTATCCTCGGTTTTGCGTCGGTGGCTTAGTGGTTAGAACTCTCGCCGGCCATGCACATGGTGCGAGGTTCGATCCGCTGCCGACGCACACCTGATATCAAAGGTCGGCCTGCAAAATTTGGGCTTCCGACATCCATGCTGAAAATTCTCTACTTGTACCAAAAATACAGTGTCGAATCAAGCTGTAATCAAAAATTTAAAAAATTTCGAGGATGACTCAACGTGATGGGCTGTGGTGTTCGTAGAAACACGCGATTATAAATAATTCGATTCGAAGACATTTATTATTGAATAAAACAAAAAATATAAGAGCGAACAGAAGCAAAAAGTAAGATGATTCAAACTAGAAATTTTTGATAGCACGAAATACATGCAGGCGGTCATGAAGGTGACAACAAATATCACTGGAAAATCAGTACTACAGAGAATAAAATTAAAATATCGTCTTGGGTAGTGTGCAGTTTCATTTAATTTCATGCTTAAAGACAATTCAATATCTCTGGATAAATAAAATGAAAGATTTATAGAAACAGTGAGTTTTCATGTTTTGATGTATTTATTGTCTTGATGTCAATGCAATACTTAATTTATAACTTCTCCAATTCCAGTTGTGCTTCTTCAGATTGAATCTATGGAAAGTGATTTTGTGATGAAAATGGAAAATGAAACGTAGACGAAGTGGTTCAATTGAGCGCATTATCGAAAATGTAAAATATAGTCAGTGAGAATACACGTCAATATCTGAGTTTGAAATGATAACTGTAATAGAATTAAATTGCATACGAGATTATTTTATTTCAAGTAACAGACACCGATAAGGTAGCAACGACAGGATGATTGTTTGACTTCAGATTGTTGTTGATATTTTATATCGCTGTACACGTGGAGTCTCAGATCTCTTCGTGAGATTCTCTTTCTCTCAATGGATTCGAATGTGATAGTGAGAGTGAGAGTGTCTCGTTTCTGCTATATGTTTTCAGGGTTGATTCGATCAACAGCGATCCTGTAGCTCTCGATCCAGTTATGTTACTTATCCATACTCTGACCATCTAGCATCCTAATATAAGACTGAATATTTGTATATGTATGGAAATGAGAAACAACCAATTATGGATTATGCATCCAGTGTAGGCTTCGCATAGTTCAGTAGCTAGCTGAATGCCTGCATTCAGAAATCCTAACTGGCTGCGATCTCTTGGTTTGTTCTTTGAATCTCACTTCACAGTCATTAAGTAGTATTTGCAGGATTGAATTGCTTCCTATAAGTGTGCCGTTTGCATAAAAACTGATTATGTTTATTTGGGATTCAGTTCAGGTGTTCAAATGTCACACTGACGGTAGACCGTACTCAGGATCCTGTCAGTGGATTCAAATGTCCTTACATGATAATTCTGAGTTCATTTCTGGGTTTCGAAATAACAAAGTTATATAAAAGCAAGTTTTCCTAAAGGCAAAGGACTTTGAAAACTACCTTATGAAAGTCATTGTAAATTTGATTCCTTCTTTTTTTACCAGTTTGTTTAGCAATCTGTACTTTGACAGTATTCTTACGCAGCTCAAACCAAAAAGTTGGAAAGAATTCACAGTGACTTCTGAATATAAGGCTTTAGCGATATTGCAAATAAACACAAACATGTTCTCATTAGTTTTCAACAAATATACAAGTGAAGATGAAGAAAATCACATTTGTCTTCGACTGACTTAAATTGTGAGTGACTACTGAACCAGAAACTGCCAACTGGTTGTCTCAGTCACATATCTGCCTGTTTTTGATATTGCCATTTCAAATGATTTACACCCAACAAACTCCCCGCAAACCGACCGATATTACTGATAAGAATAGGGTGACAGTCATTGCTATATAAGTATATATATATATATATGTATGTACGCCAAGTAGCTTATTATATCATCCCGATTTGAAAGCATTGGATGTTTTCTTGCTTGAAGTGATCTGAGGTCTGTGAACTAATGAATGAAAGACGAGTAACATTTACAAGCTATCTGTTCAGGATATAATACCGGCTGGTTATATTTACTTAACTCTGGTTAAGATATTACTGCTGAAGTATGAAATAAGCACTGCAAGCCAAAAGATTAAAACAAAATTTCAGCTTACTATACTTGAATGTCATATATTTGCAAATGATGTGAACTCCGTTTGAAGAGAGGTGCGCGATTCGACTACAGTATATATATCAGACCAACGAACACAAGACATACAGCAACAGCCAAAACGATAAGCAGAATGAGCTGTAAAATAGGACAATTTATTAGGTAAGATATAAACAGTGAAGTGTTATCGCTAGAGTTTAAGCAAGACACATGTATAAATGCAGGGATTTCTTAAACTTCCTGTCTAACCTAAACATCATTTGTTAATCATCTACTGTCACCTTACTGTTTCATTTCATAGAAAAACAAAATATTCAAACTCACGTCGAAGAGACCTAAGTTGAAAAAATGGAATATGCAGAATGAACTAGCGTAGACACCTGTCGCTATTTCGTCCTCCACGCATATCCCAGATTCTAAGAAACCTTGATGGAGGTGGAGTTCGAATGTGGGAAGATAATGATCGAACAGACTGTAGCAAGGCAGAATAACATTTGAAACAAAATCGATTCTGAGTACCAGAGGTTGAATGAAAATAAAAGCAGATATCTATGCATAATTTCAAGTGTCCTATTTCGTCACCCACAATATACAAGAACACGGATCTATCTAATATAAAGAAGGAGATAATCAGTGTTCAATATCATCTCGATAGTGAAGAAAATATAAAGGACTAGAGTATGGACAGGTGAAATCTACAATATTTCCCAAACAAGGTTAATATGAACTCACTAATGAAGGCGGCTTAAAAGCTGACAATATAAACACTTGTAAAACAGTGTCTTTACTGAAAGGTATTCCGTTGACTTCAGTACATGTGAAAGTCAAGTGAGCAGTACTAAGTATATTCTTGATACTAGTTTTAAAAGAAACAAAAGGAGAGCAGAGACAAACCTTGAGTTGTGGAATTCAGTGATTCGGATACATTTTCTGAAACAAAACCAAAAGCAAACACATTTCATGAAGACGATGAAATCAACGATGCAAATTAATCTGGAAACATAAGCATCAACCATTTACCGAGAGTTGTAATAAAGTGTGAGTTGGGAGAATTTAATAGAATTCACGAAATTGTGATAAAGGTCAACCAATAAGAATCGAGAAAGGTCAGTACACACCCGATTAACATTGGAATAAGTCAGTGGTATGTAACACAGAAATATTTGTAAACGACTATGACAAATCATTTGAACAGTCGCACAGATCAAGTGGATAAAATCTTTGTTACCTAATGTCCAAGGAATAAAAACATCTCATTGCAGTGATTTTAACAACATTAAAGAAATTAGAATTTGTGCGTTTGGTGCGTCGGTGGCATAGCGGTTAGTACGCTCACCAACCATGCACATGGTCCGGAGTTCGATCATCGGCCGACGCACTCCTTTACCTCGCTAAGCCAGTAATAAGATTGGTGAAGAGGAAAGGTTGGGCATGAGTCTAGCAACCCCATCCTGTAAAATAAATATTGCTACGGAAACTTCAAGCCACTAGCTTGAAACCCTGTGTTCCACTGGGGAATGTGAAAGAAAAAATAAATCAAATAAAAAGTTTAAAAAAATTAACCAGAGGAATTTGTCCACGTTTACGAAATAAAGTCAAAAATATTTGAAGTAGGAATTCACAGTATTAAATATAATAATATTAATAATAACAGCGAGTTTGTTTCAAACGGTTCTGTCGATTTAGTTTGACAATTTTAGCATGTTATAGAATACTGAATCTGATGTTCTGCTGATATAGCATGGTCAAGGATAAGACTAAATTACCAGTGATCACACAGCTTGAATGATTTTCAGACTTATAGAAAAATAAACCACAAAATGAGGTGATTATGAATATAAGAAGAAGAATAATAATGAAGCTTAGTAGATCAGGGATAGAGAAAATTGTTAATTTACTATCGCAGACAAGGTTAGTTAGTTCGTGCCTGACACTATTTTCAGCGCATAAATTACGTGCCAAATATGGTATCGTGAAAATTTCATACTCAGATGCAAGTGAAAATGTCTTTTAAAATGACTTCTTGTTTTACCTGAGGAGGCACAAGTTTGGAGCTGAGGGTAGAGTGGGTGCTCACAGTCTGAAAAGAAAATTCCTTTAGCGAATTTGTGGCATGAAATCAAGTGCCTATTTATGAGGATATCGCCCAACACTATGCTACAACTCATCCTACTGACAGTCTTCATAGTTCTATCAAGTATGACATAGTCTTCTTTAAGCAATCCACGAAAGAATAAGGGTGAACAGTAAAGAAGAATAGGTAAGATGGACTAGTTGAAAAACTGTAAGAGGAGTGGTTGGGTTATGCCTGATCGCCTTAAATTCTCAATGTAAAATGTCAGACAAAATATACTTTTAGAAATCGCTAAGACATGGGAAGACCAGGATAGGTCAGAAGAAAGAATTAATCCAAGATACTTAACTTCAGACTTGATTTTTATATCCTCACTATCATCAATTTTGCAATGGCTAGATGGAATCGACAAATTCATTTGACTTTCTTTTACACCGAAAACTGGAATTAACAGTCTGAAATTTGGAAGGATTTAGTTTCAGACCATTAGACGACGACCATTTGTTGACTCCTGATAGAAAGCTGTTCATCTGAGTACAGTCTGACTGGCAGTTAACAGACATTGACATAGTAACATCGTCCGCATACTTAACAAAGTTCATTTCGTCATCAGAGTGAGGCAAGTCATGCAAGAAGAAAGAGAACAGAAGAAGAGGAAGGACAGCGCCTTGAGGGACACCAGCCTTAGTAAGCAATGAAGTGAAAAACTTTCCCTGACATACAGTGTGCTGCTTTTTTCCTGAAAAATAAGAATGCAGCCACTTGACAACCCAACAGTCAGTCTCAGTTTCAGCAAACCTGTTTAAGAAAATGTCCCTAGGTACTGAGTCGAAAGCAGATGTGTAATCTAGGAAAGTGCAGAAAACAAATTGAGCCCGTTTGTCTATAGTGGAGACACTGTTATGATACAAGACTGCATCTAAAGCATTTCTACTGTGTTTATAGGCGAATTGTTTGGGATCCTTAAACGCTTCAAGTGAAGGTTGAAGATTAATTAAGAGTAACTTTACCATAGTTTTTAGTAAAGGGGAGGTAACAGAAATAGGTCTAAATTCAAGACATGTTCCAGTAGATGACTTAGGTATAGGTAAAGTTTTAATGTATTTCCACACGGCTCTGGCGACATTTCTGGAAAAATATTCATAGAATATGTCCATGAGAGGATTACACAGGATATCTGCATACCTTTTAAGAATAACACTAGGCAAACCATCTGGACCAAGCCTACAAGAAGGGTTCAACAACTGGAGACATTTTAGAACGTCATTTGTTTTGAAACCAGGGAAGCAGGTTCCATTAACACTTGTAACAATAGAAAACTTGGCATTTGTGTGAGAATATATGAAAGACTTGTTTTTAGTGTACTGTTATCAAATGATTAAATAATACTATTCATCTGCTTAACACCAGTAATTTCTTTGAAAAGCCTCCATATAATAGAGGCAATTTACGGGATTTAAACTTCTGGTTATTAACTGAATTCAGCCTGTGCATTTCAAATTTGATTAGGTTGGTAATTCTTTTCAAACCAATGTTATCCTTCATTTTATATAACTCTTTTTTGCCTGCGAAGCTTTTTAAGTTGATGGGAGGAGAAACGGTCAAATCTGATGAAGAGTGTTTCCCTGGGACAACAGGTGTCAAGACAAAATTTGAGATAACGTGTAATGTTTGAGATAGTGTCATCATAAGAGTCTTCATTAAACAAGTCCAACCTTGTGTCTTTGAGCATCCTCCTAAGATTCTGAACATGCTCCTTAGAGTAACATCCAAGTACACGTTTCTTGGAAAGGTGCGAAAAGGTTGTCTTGTGTAACTTTTCATAAATTTTGGGTAAAACCCGTAAAATACAGTGATCGGTTTTAAACAGTGGGGCTCTGTTACGAGATTCATATATTGCTGAGTCATTTACAAATGCAAGATCAAGCAAAGTATGTAGTCAGATGGGAAGTTAACAACATTTTCATGACCTAGCACTGTAATGAAACTGTAGTCACAAGAAGTAAAATCATCTGTCACTATAGACAATGAGTTTTACGAAGAAGTGTCAGCGAAAATAGTGAATTCATAAGCATGCATAGAGAGTTCCCAAGTTCTCCAACAAGTTGTGACATAAATGTTCGTGGTATAAATAAGTTTGTACTTAGACAGGTGTTTAGGTCGACAAGTGACAGTTTTAAAGTCAATATTATCATTTGAGTATTGAAAACAGACGTTGATGGCAACAGACCCCTACTACGTGATAAAGTTACCAAGACCATCACCTCGCTTCTTCTCCCAACAGCTATCATCTTGTCTCTTAATAGTGAAACATTTTAGGCAGATTAAATCGATATTATGTGAATCGTGGAGACAAGTTTATTGAAGCGTTATGATGCCTGTTTTTTGACAAATATTTGAACATAGCAGAGCAAACAATAAATTATCTTGTTCGATAATGATCTGAAATTTATGTTCACAGACACAGGAACTGTCATCTGATGCACTACCATAAATTTAAACGTACTTTGCCTCTCATCACCGAGTCCATCAATAAGTTGATATGAAACAATTAAATTATCACGCTGAAAACAATTTAAATAATCGCGAGAGTAGGTAACACGATTTAGACACATAATTGAATATATGAAACAAAATAAATCCAAGTAATCAGATGCAATATAAATGGCGGAACATTTTGTCAGCTCAAGGTTGAAGCAGGTCACCGCATCTAGTAGAAACAATTTCATCTAAACACGCGGCCAATATCCATTCACGTTGTGGGTTGGCCAAAACCTTTGCACTAGAGTTTAGTCAGCAACAAATTACAATAAATCACCGAATAGGCTCTGGAAAACCAATAATGAGAACTCACCGGTGCTTGTGGCTGAAAGGTGGAGAATGCACATATTTGCAAGAAACACACGAATTAGACAACAGGAAAAGAAAGTGAAAATATGGATGAAAACATGAAATGAAGATAATCTCGCTTTGTCAATCCGGTGGCCACACATGTAAACTAGAGGCATGCAATTACTGAATACCAAACATCGGAATTTACGAGGTATATAACACACTGAAATCTGTTGAATTCATCATTATCGAACTCGCCGATTCTCTCAAATATCTCGCACAGGCGATAATCTCAAATCTTCTGCCTTTCAGTTCATATCAACACACGAGATATTGATGTTTGATCATTGAATATCTTCGTCGTGTATTGTGTGCTGAGATTGTCTACCTGACTTCTGTGATTGATACGATGACTGCATGAGCAAGGTAACGAGAAATAATTTTTGTACTCACTTGGTGTAGTTGCTGAATATTATGTTTACATATTTTGTGAAATTTGATTTGTTTTGACATGTTATTCTGAACACTGCACTCGAATTCGTAATAAACGGTGATACTTGGTGAGGATACGGAGACTAATTTTAAGTGTTGTTTTAAAAATACATTTGTCATTTCACGATTTAAAATGGAATTTTCTCAGTCTTTTGGGAGTCAGTGTGCTTTTATTCAGTATTTGTGTTCCGTTGTTCTGTCAATTTTGTGAGATAATCTTGGTTTGTTTGTCTCGTTGTTAATTTTAATTCTCTGTGTTTGTTTTGAATTGAGGAAGTATTTTTATGGATGTTTAATCAGGTGTAATTTCTGTTTCATTCCTACTTTTTTTGGTTTATATTTGCTCATATTGTCTGCTTTTTAAGATTTAGCCACAAGCTTGATGCATCTACTGTTTATCTGAAAAACATAAGCATCAATTATTTGTCGAGAGTTGTGAAAAAGTGTGAGTTGGGAGAATTCAATAGAATTCACGAATTTGTGATAAAGGTCAACCAACGAGAATCGAGAATGGTCAGTACACATCATTGGAATAAGTCAGTGGTATGTAATACAGAAATATTTGTAAACGATTATAACAAATCATTTGAACAGTCGCACAGATCAAGTGGATAATAATCTTTGTTATCTGATGCTCAAGACATTAAAATGTCTCATTGCAGTGATTTTAATAGCAATCAAGAAATTAGAATTTGTGCGTTGGGTGTGGTTAGGACGCTCGCCGACCATGCACATGGTCCAGGGTTCGATCCCCGGGCGACGCACTCCTTTACCTCGCTAAGCCAGTAATAAGATTGGTGAAGAGGAAAGGTTGGGCATGAGTCTAGCAACCCCATCCTGTAAAATAAACATTGATACGGAAACTTCAAGCCACTAGCTTGAAACCCAATGTTTCACAGGGGAACGTGAAGGAAAAAAATGTAAAAAATTAAAACAAAATTAACCAGAGGAATTGGTACACGTTTACAATGTAAAGTCAAAAATATTCGAAGCACGAATTGAGAATATTAAATATAATAATAATAACAGCGAGTTTGTTTCAAACGGTTCTGTCGATTTAGTTTGACAATTTTAGCATGTTATAGAATACTGAATCTGATGTTCTGCTGATATAGCATGGTCAAGAATAAGACTAAATTACCAGTGATCACACAGCTTGAATGATTTTCAGACTTATAGAAAAATAAACCACAAAATGAGGTGATTATGAATATAAGAAGAAGAATAATAATGAAGCTTAGTAGATCAGGGATAGAGAAAATTGTTAATTTACTATCGCAGACAAGGTTAGTTAGTTCGTGCCTGACACTATTTTCAGCGCATAAATTACGTGCCAAATATGGTATCGTGAAAATTTCATACTCAGATGCAAGTGAAAATGTCTTTTAAAATGACTTCTTGTTTTACCTGAGGAGGCACAAGTTTGGAGCTGAGGGTAGAGTGGGTGCTCACAGTCTGAAAAGAAAATTCCTTTAGCGAATTTGTGGCATGAAATCAAGTGCCTATTTATGAGGATATCGCCCAACACTATGCTACAACTCATCCTACTGACAGTCTTCATAGTTCTATCAAGTATGACATAGTCTTCTTTAAGCAATCCACGAAAGAATAAGGGTGAACAGTAAAGAAGAATAGGTAAGATGGACTAGTTGAAAAACTGTAAGAGGAGTGGTTGGGTTATGCCTGATCGCCTTAAATTCTCAATGTTTTGGAAAAGCAGAGTTGATAGCAATAGGTCTAAATTTAAGACATGTTCCAGTAGACGACTTAGGTATAGGCACAATTTTAATCTACTTCCACATGGCTGTCGCGACATTTCTCGTAAAAGATTCATTAAATGTGTCTATGAGAGGATTACACAGGATATCTGCAAATCCTTTAGGAATAACACTAGGCAAACCATCTGGACGTAGGCTACAACAAGGGTTCAACAACTGGAGACATTTTAGAACGTCATTTGTTTTGAAACCAGGGAAGCAGGTTTCATTAACACTTGTAACACTAGAAAAATTGGCATTTGTGTCAGAATGTATCAAAGGTTTTTTAGTGTACTCTTATCAAATGAATAAATAATACTATTCATCTGCTTAACACCAGTAATCTCTTTGAATAGCTTCCATATATTAGAGGCAATTTACGGGATTTAAACTTCTGGTTATAAAATAAATTCAACATGTGCATTTCAGTTTTGATTAGGGTGTTAATTCTTTTCACACCAATGTTATCCTTCATTTTATATATCTTCCTTGTCTTTAAGAAGCTTCTAAAGTTGAAGGGAGGAGAAACGGTCAAATATGATGAAAAGCGTCCCCCTGGAACAACAGGTGTAAAGACAAAATTTGAGATAACATGTAATGTTTGAGATAGTGTCATCAAGAGAGTCTTCATGAAACAAGTTCCACTTTGTGTTTTTGAGCATCCTCCTAAGATTCTGAACATGCTGCTGAGAGTAACATTCATGTGCGATTTCCCTGAACAAGTGTGAAAAGGATCTCCTGTGTAAATTCTCATAAGTTTTGGGTAACACCTGTACAATACACTGATCGGAGTTAAACAGTGGGGCTCTGTTACGAGATTCATATATTGCGGAGTCATTTACAAATGCAAGATTAAGCAAAGTATCCGGTCGGATGGGAAGTTAACGACATTTTCATGACCTAGCACTGTAGGAAAGCTGTAGTCACAAGAATTAAAATCAACTGTCACTATGGACAATGAGTGTCAACAACAAGTTGTGATATAAATGAATCTGTACTTAGACAGGTGTTTAGGTCGACATTTAACTGTTATACAGTCAATATTTTTATTTGAGAATTAAAAGAGACGATGTTGGCAACAGACCACTAAGATGTGATAAAGTTATCAAGACCACCACTCTGCTTCTTCTTTCAACTGCTCCGATCTTGTCTGTTAATAGTGAAAGAATGTAGGCATCTTAAATCGTTGTTATGTGATACGTGGAGACAAGTTTATTGAAGCCTTATTACACCTGTATTTTGACAAATATTTGCACATTACAGAGCAAACAAGTGAACTATCTCGTTCGAAAGTGAAATCAAATTTCGCATCAAATTCACAGAAAGTGTCATCAGATGCACTAAGAAAACTTAAAGGAACGTTGCAACTCATCAACCAGTACATCAATATGTTAATAAGAAAAACCTAAATTACAAAGCTGAAAACAATTCAAATCATCGCGAGATTGGGTAACACGAATTACACGTAATTGAATAATTAAAAGAAAATAAATCCAAGTAACCAGATTCAATATAAATGACGAAACATTTCGGCAGCTCAAGGTTCAAGCAGACCGTCGTATCCCGTAGAAACAATTTCATCTGAACACGAGGACAATATGCATCCACGTTGTGGGTTGGCTAAAACTTTTGAACTAGAGTTTAGTCAGCAAGAATTTACAATGAATCACTGGATGGCCTCTGGAAAACGAATACTGAGAACTCACCGGTGCTTATGGCTGAAAGGTGGAGAATACACATATTTGCAAGAAACACACGAATTAGACAACAGAAAAAGAAAGTGAAAATATGGATGAAAACATGAAATGAAGATAATCTCGCTTTGTCAATCCGGTGGCCACAAATGTAAACTAGAGGCATGCAATTACTGAATACTAAACATCGGAAACTACGAGGTATATAACACACTGAAATCTGATGAATTCATCATTATCAAACTCGCCCATTCTCTTAAATATCTCGCACGAGTGATAATCTCAAATCTTCTGTCCTTCAGTTCATATCACGACACAATATATTGATGTTTGATCATTGAATATTTTCGTCATGTATTGTGTGCTGAGATTGTCTACCTGTCTTCTGTGATTGATATGATGACTGCATGAACAATGTAACGAGAAGTAATTTTCGTACTCACTTGGTGTATAAGCTAAACAGTAGGTTGCAAAATTTTGTGAAGTTTAAATTATGTCGACAAAGTATTCTGAAAAATGCACTCGAATTCAAAATAAACGGTGATTCTTGGTGAGGATATGCAGACTAATATTCAGTGTTGTTATAAGAACACCTGTCTCATTTCACGATTTAAAATAGAATTTTCTTACTCTATTGAGAGGAAATTGGCTTTTGCACTATTGGTTTTCCGTCCTTTTGTGAGTTTTGAGGGAAAATCTTTGTATGTTTTTCTCGTGCATAATTTTTATTCAATGTATTAGTTGAATTTAGGAAAAATGTAATACGGGTATTTTTTAGGTGTATTATATTTTTCACTCCTACTGTTTTGTTCAAATTTTTGTCGTTTATCTTCTACTTTTTAAGAATGCGGCACAATCTTTATGCATCCACCTTTAATGTGAAATTTATTCTTTGAATTTCGACATAATTTTGGAGTATTTCTCTCATATCTGCGTGACTTATTACCAGTAGTTTTTTTTCCATGATTTCCCGCACTATATTCAAACAGGACATTCATTGTCGTTATTTTTCAATTTTGTATTTTTTCTTTTTATATCTAGGTTTATTCTCTGATATGCGTAAGTTCAGATTATGTAATTGAATACTGTAGTCGGCGAGAAACATTTTCAGTGTAAAAGAAACAATATTTGAACTCACTTGTTGTTGTTGTTGTCGCTATAGATAATTGTGTAATTTGAATTGTGTCGAAAATGTGCTTTAAAAATTACATTCGACAACTTAACAGTCACTGATAATTGGTCGAGAACACATGAGTTAGTAATCGTTTTTTTAATGATAGGATATATATTATTTAATGTATTTTAATATCAGTAGTACTGTCTATTATCTACATATGAGTTTCAGATTGTTCCAGGTTTGCTTCTCCATCTCTTGTTTATTATTTTATTTCGTTTCTTGTGATGCTGCGCTTGTCTTTCCAAAGTGATTAAAAAGCACTTATGGGAATTTCTTTATCTGAGTATCTTAAGCAGTTGTCTAAAATATACACAGCTTTTACGCAATATTTCCTTAAGTAAATACCTAATTGAAACTATTTTTATTCTGAAGTTCACAAGAAAATACACTGTTGATTCGTGCAATGATTTTCTTGTGTTGAATCCATAATTAATAATCTGTCATGGTTTTACTATCTCGAATAACTTCTTCATAAACATACTTACTTCTTATTTTGAATGTCCGAGCGAGCCTTTAAAAGTGAATATGCAATATCTTTGTTTTAGAGGAAATCTGTTGATAAAACGACTCAACATGGATTTCATAAAACATCGTTTTCAATGTTTAAATGAAAGTGACTAATATTTTAAGTAAGTGCCATTTTGCGGTTCATATTGTTTTCATGTCAAAAACATCAAACAATATAATACAGTTTCCTCGAAAGTGAGTTGACTGAATACCGGAGTCGATTAAAATCAGAAGTAAATACTGAAGTTCATTTAGACCAATGATTTATTCTTACATCGCATGACAGTGTCACTGAAACAAGGATGTCCCACTCTCATCTTTTTCATTCACATTTTGTACGAACGCATGTTCACGTCAAGCATGGTGACGACATCGAGATAACCAACCTTCTAAATGTTAAGATTCCAGTAACACTTTCGGAAATTGGAACAAGTCTTATCTGGTGGAGAAAAAATTATCTGAATCACATAAAGAATATTTCATGAAGTGGAATGTTCAGACAGCAGTGTGAGCACTAGGTCTACTTAACTTTATTTGAGGTATGACAAAATTAGTAGTGACGTTTTCTGATATTTGTGTACATTGAGCAGTATGATTTTTGGAAGTAATACTGCGTCAGTATGCTTCTTCATGGTGTAATATACTTACGAAGGCAACACTTTGTAAGGAAACTTATTTTTCATGATTTCATGTGGCTAATTTCAGGTTATCTATTTCGCACTTTAGCAACGGAGTTTGCTTGAGAGTAAGGAGAGACTCTTAGATGCGTTTAATGTCTTTATAAACATATATACATTTTAAATGTTAATCACATAATAAAATCAAGACCATGGTCATGAAAGATCTCTTTCGTTGCTATGTATATATATATTTATTATGGAATGTAGTGAAATGAAATATCTATCTCGTGAAAAGAATGTACAATGAACAAAATTAAATATTAATAAACCTACGGTGATCCACATTTCACTTTGCATTCCATCTCATTTAAAAATTCATTTGTAGTTACGGGACATTGTTTAGGTTGATACCTTCTGCATCTATCATTAAACACATCATAGTACCAAGCTGAGCGTGAATATCCGCATCCAGACACTGCAGCATCCAAAGAGCAAATTTCTGAAATTATTCATAGATCAAGTATTCAAAGTCATACTAATATAATGTATTTTAAACGAGTGAATCATTACAAGGTCCACACATCGGAAGGCGAGTTATCATTGTAATGCAACGTTCGTTAAACGCAACCGGTGTTTGAATATGTTCGTGTCAAAGAAGCACAACCACTGAATTAGCAAAGTCATCCATGTTATAGCCGCATTCATAGTAACATGATGTCTTTAATTCCCGAAAGTTTTTTGAGTAGGCGATCGAATTCGAATTTGAATAAAATTATGTATATACTTCAGTTTTGAAGTTATTCAACGTAAATAGTTAGACGAACGCACAAACTGACGAAGACATCGGTACGATGTTTCAATGAAGATTACTGGGGAATCATTAGCAAATGAAAATCGAAAGCAAACTGTAATACTTGAAGGAGTTGAGCTCTATTCAAAAGACATATAGATATGATCAGAAGTGTGGAAGAATGGGTTGAAAGTGGTTGTCACTCTACTCATAAGATTTTGTGACATCCCTAAAACATTGGGCATTTAAACCCAGGAGTTCTGAATGAATTTCTTTATACTCAGACTAGAGACCTAGTTTCGTTCTCCTGTCTTGAAGGACAAAGGTCTATACTTGCCCAGGTTGTTCGTCATTACAAAAGAAAAACGAGAAATTACGCAGTCAAACAGTGAATGACGAGTGGTTAGGGTACTAAATAAAGGAAGAGGAGTTAACCTCACCAACAAGAATCATAACACTGCAAACACGAATGATAAATGGGATGTTAGTAGAACTTTAGGACACAGTAGTTGTAAAGGATTGCAACAGTGAGGTAGAAACTGAAGTGATCCATTATTTGTTGAGACTAAAGTAACAAAAACTGGATCCTTAGTGTTAACACAACATAGCCAAGTAGATGGTTGTGATGTCACTTTTTACAAATGTTCCACTAAAAGAAATTATCAACTAACTGTGTTAAGACAGAAGTAAGATGGCAGTGAACGTCGGGATTTCAATAGCAGTCATCAAATAGTTGTAACTTATACATGGCATGGATCTGAACTTGAAATGCTTTGATGAGATCTGAAGGCAGTGGACTGGAGTTGCAGTTGGTATTTGAAATCAATGAATTTGCCATTTATGAATACTACAAGGACAAAACTGTGATGACTAATCATTTTGACGAAGAAATTAGCAGTTAAAGAAGATGAATCATGAGGCTAAATTACCAAATGGATGCCCACCATAATCTGAGAAACAACATGGTAACATTAGAAGTAATTTGCATTGGAAAAATACTTTAGCTGGACAATATACACATCCACGCATTTTCGTTTCTCCCCGGGATTAGAGAAGTTTAACAAACATACTTAAAATTCGATTGACTGGAGCGAATGGACTTACTGTTTATATTTATGCATATTATCACATACAAATTCAGTGTGATGTTCAAGTTACAACATGTTCACATAGAACGTTTTGGTATAGGACTGACATATTTACAGACAGTTATGCTTCAGTGTTATGGGTAGCATTATTAGTTTGAATGTCATTTGTGTTTTAATTATTAGAGACAGAAATGTTACTTTGGCAGAAGGAGAATTTTTCGGAAACAATGGTCATCGTTCAATAGTGCCGGTTTAAATTTACAACAGGAATATTCATTTACTCAAATTGTACTTTTTACGAGTCAAAGTTTCCTCATCAACACTATGCTGAACATTGAAAATGATTAACAAGCCTTATGAGAAATGTAAAAAACTAAAACTTCTGATGAACAAGTCAGAAAGAATGTGCGTAAAATACTGGTGACTAATGCCATATCTGGCTTCAAATCATTACGAAGTTTCTATTGGCAACAACTTACTTCTATCGAACCGACCACTGAAACAAATGAGTATGTAGATTACGAATGAGCTTTGTGTGGTTCTTTTTGTAAGAAACCGTCACAGATTATAGGTAAATCACGACTAGGTAATTTGAAGGTAGTTTAAGACCATTCATAGGTTGAAACTGGTGTAATTAATAGAATAGCCAGATGTTAGAGATATTAAATCTTGTTTCCAAAGACTTGTTGATGCATAATCGATCATACATTTGCACTAGTCGTATTCCCAAATAAATGCTTCCATTGGCTAAAGAAATTAAATCTGCGCATTACTGTCCTTGACAGTATTCACGTGTAATTGGCGAATATGAGGCTGGATAGTTCATTTCAGGCTAAGCAGCTTTTTGGGGTAGACGTTTTAAATGCAACAAAAACTATTCCGTTGACACTAGGAGGATAAACAAATACTTTATCGATTCCTGGAAAACTTGTAAGACAATTGCAACTATAATAACTATTTACTGTGTCCGTAAACCATGATGCAAACTAGCTTGTTTTATTTTTACAGATATATTTCTATACAAGCAAATTACCTTTTCCCGCAAGTTGAATTACATTCTTCAAGTGTTTTGAATTATTCGCGTTACCGCCACAGCCACCATATGTAAACATTACACATTCTCCGATTGTCGCATTATAATAGTATCGCTTGATAGTTTTATTACATGGGCCTTCATCCTCATGATAGAAGCAAATTCCTGAAATAACATCAACCAGAAGTATTTAAATTACAGTCAATCCAAACACAGTGTACAGGGTTAGTATAAATCGACCACTGCCACAAAATTTCATTACTTTCTTAATAATGTATTTTATACTAAAGAAACAGGGTTAATGAAATACTTACTACTGTCCCACAGAGACGTATCTGCATGCACAGACAAGATGAGTAACAGTACTCCTGAAATCGTGCAGAACATTTTGACTGAAATGATTTTTTTCGCTGTTTATGTATATATATGCTTCGAAAATAAGCAACATTTATCAACATTTTCCTAATATGAAATTACACGTTATTTATTGGTAAGTTGTACTTTTGTTCATAATTTTCACAGCGTTGTTGCGTGCACGTGTTTACGTATATGTAACTAACCATAAAGTAGTTTATCACTACACCGAGAAATTTGGCTGATTGATGTACATTGTTTAACGTTCAATAACCTGCAGGTGTAACGTGTAGAATTTGCGGTGAGGAATTTTAATTGTTAAACTTGTATCGCTTCTCTTAATCGACTAACAGAATTCAACGTTTTACTCTACCAGAGATTACCGAAGTGTGATGTAGAAATAGTTCAATTCATACGCCAACAAAATGACGCATACAATGCAGTTAATCGCATTACAAAATATTTCTCACATTGTAAATGGTTTTAATCGTGTTTTTTATAGCACTTGAATCTATTCTTCTGAGGAGTATTGAATCGCGTATTGAATAAGTTATTCAAGGCCTCTAGACATCAATCGTACCAAACAGCAGAGGTCACTGCAACTCGCCTACATCAACGAAGATCTGCATGCAAAAGAGATAGGTCCAGACACTATTGTTACCTGTGCTTGTAATTCCGTCAGTTCTGTATTACTTCCGTAACTTTTCTGGTACTCAGTTTAGTGTTGTAATCATGCAGATTATCTCTTCCTGACGCTTTTTTTAAATGTGACCTGTCGATACTACAATCCAGTGTAATTTAATGTAGTGTTATTAATAACTCTATTTCTTGAATTATTGCAGTCATATAGGTGTAGAACCTACTGACTGTGATCTCTTTATGTGCCAGACCATTCTGAGCATATAAATATTCATATGATTGTAGAGCAGGGAGAAGAAATGATTGAGAAGGAAATATTTTGCTGAAATATTCCTTGTTCTTCTAAATGTCCAAATGAGAATTCTCTCTGTATTCCGAATGAGTTCCGCATTCCAGGGGAATGTTGAAGTTGTTTGTGAGACTTCTCGATGAAAGCAGTCATCATTTATTGCACTGCAAATATACATGAATGCAATAGTGTGCTTACATCTCGCGGTTTAACTTCGGATTGTAAGAGACTGAAGAAGCGTTGTTACACGAACACAATCATGCATTTTAATAGATTTCACGAGATTTAATCGGATGTGACTGAAATAGTGGAATTTCGGTTGTTAGATGACAAAATATTTACTCAGGTTATATGATTTATTTTCCATTGGATCGAAAATTCACCCTATTCACAGATCTAGTGGATAGGTTCAAACCGCTAGTGAATGGGCGCAGTGGTGACACAAGTAATTCAACTGTCGATTTCGAAGATGGCAAAGATCGATATGAAAAAATATGCCCACAGAGAGGATTCTTGCTATAAAAAATGATCAAATTGTTCCTAAGACACAAATAGACTCTGTAATTTGTCACCATCTTTAAACTTACACCACTGTACAGTTGGCATACACATCTCAGCAGTGATTCGGAATTCTTTGTAGTAATATTCGTTGAAATAAAGCAAATATATCTGGTGATGAAACAAAGCGGTGGTGCTGAATCGATGATGATAATCACCTAATAGCAATGTGATATTACCTAGTGAAAAATGCCTCAAGAATAGATGAAGGAATCCTGAAAATAAAAGTGGAGAAAGTGAATGCATACTGCCTTTCTACATTTCTAATTCTGTTTTATTCTGCAAATCACCTCATATCTCAAGCGAATAGTAAAGGTAACAACTCCTACGCACTCAATGACGTGGCTGGCTGGAACAGTTGAAATTTGGCAGCTAGTGAATCCACCTCCGGTACATTTCAAGAACATTTACATTGAGATTTCTAATTTGAAAGGCAACAACAGACAGACATGTAGCTTGGCTTTTCCGAACACATAAATAATCACTACTTTTAGAGCGGCGCCTACTCATTGCGTGGCATAGAACCTCATTATTAATGATACATGTTGAAATACATAGGCGCCTTAGGAGAACCTCGCTAATAGATTAGGAAAGTAAGTCACTGGAAAGCCTGAACGGTTAGTCCACCTACGACGACTGATACTGTGCTATTATTATTGACACATAATAAAAGTGATAATCGATTAAAATGAACTAGATGAGGAGGAATAATAAGGCATAATACAACATCAAAACATGGGTAATTACGTCTCTGCTGACCTTATAGTAAACCAGAATAAACAGAGAGGATGAACGTACTTCTTTCCTACACATACGTCAGGTTATTTTATTGATCTCTATAGCTTCCTCTATGACTAAGGGACATAATGGTGTGCCTGTAGGCCAATTCTTTGGTACTCGATACACAACTGTAAATGACTCATCTATTTTACCGTAATGTCCACTATCTACCAGATGAAACAATTTGGTGCTATTTATTGATTTGGTTACACTTTCTCCAAGCCAAACAGGAACATGTTCACGAGATAGATGGCGATAAATTCCTCTCATTTCGACCTATATAACCAGCTGCACGTGAGTAGATGGATTCGTATCCATACAGTGATGCGGCCATCTTCGGTAATTTATCTTTGATGCACTGTGTCAGTAATGGTCTGCTGAGAAACTGATGTGTAGTTCTGGGCATTGGAAGTTCCTTCAACTGATCTGATCAATTTGCACCCAATATGTCACCGCCTATATCATCTTTTCACTGTACTGTCCAAATAAAGCTATATTCACTCACCGTATCACACTTAGTTTCATCAGTTATTTTGGAAATACGCTTCTTTACAAAATAGTTGACATAATCACCTTGTGGCAGGGTACTTTAAGGCATTTCGATTTCATCTTCAGTACAATCCTAAGTATACATGATCCTTATTCTATGGTGGATCAAGTTCCATTTATATTATGTGAGTATGGAACGATGGAAATGGATATTTTGTCCATTCCATGTGGCTTTTCTGTAGTTATTACGTGACATCTGATCTTTTGGTGAGAAGAACATCCGAAAATGAAGTAGTTCTCTGGTGTTCACATTCTCAAGTGAATTAACAGTGACCTGCATCAGGTGCTGTTTATCAGATTATTGTCACAAACGATGAATGTATCGTCCACATAGCGGCCAAAACATTTAAATTTGTTTGGCTAGGAAATTGTCAACAAATGAGGAATCTATAGGGCAGCCCAAAGAAACTCCATATATTTGAAGGTAAAACTCTTTGTCGAGCACAAAACGAACATTCATAGTACACTGCGGCAACAACTCTTTCAATTTCATAGGTGTGATCCCGATATCTGTTTCTCTCTACAACTTGATCGCATATATAATTCACTGTTTCAACCAGGGACAATTTTTAAATGGTGATGTAACATCCAACGACCCCATGCTTTTGTCCACTCTTTTCATATCCCCAGTGTTGTCAGCAAAAGCGAAGACGTCTTTCACAATGTACTTAACTAACTTCCGAATTAGTGGCTAGAGCAGATTAATCAGCTATTTAGCTGTCAAGTGAAATGGTGAATTGAACATATCGGGAATGGGACGTCGAGGAACTACAGTAATCTTCATTTAACCATAAAGCCCAGATGTATGGCTTCCGGAGCGTTTGATCGCGTTTAATTGTATGAAGGTTAATTGGGTTCATCCGAGACTCCTAGATCTGTTCTAAAATACATCTTAGGGGATATATGCAATTATATCAGTTCGATTCGCATACCGAAGTATTACTTCGACATGTATTAGGATTTGTAGTGTTACTGAATTTGTCTAAAATGTTGCTCAACCGTTTGCATGAAATTTGCATAAATTGTCGGTAGTGCGACTCAACGAGTAATACTGTGAAGTGTGCAATGCATACCTATGCGATTATCCTGACGAAATACAAAACGGAATTTCTACCATTCACTGTTCTCGATATAGGTCACCAGCCATAAATATGCATGACTGTTTCTCTAAATTTTCTCCGGGTCCACTAAAGACATATTTAAAATTTCTGATACTTATAGACGTGCATGCTATGGTATTAAGAAATATGTGATCGACTCCATGGAAATCTTTATAATTTGATATTGATAAGTATTATTGTCCCATTTTAGAATGACCACCAAAAAGCATTTGCCACACAGGTATACAGCTAAAAGCATGTCGAATATTGTGTCAGCTAAGAAGCAGTAGTCAGAATCGTTCAAAGTTACTGATTTTCCGATTCTCTCCTGAAAGACCTTTCCCGGCGTAGATTCTCGTTAGGGCTTGCTTGTTCACTTCCGTAATTGACACTTGTTTGAATTTTCAAACTTGATACACTTTGAAAGATTATGAATTAATCCTACTAAATCATCTTGATGAACACGGTTACCATATGGCTATTTTGATCATTATTATTATTATTGGTAGGACTCTTATCGTCATTCTCACTATTACAATTGTTACTAGTATCATGGGAATTTATGATCCTGGTAATGTATCTGACTGCAGCACTGGATAGCGCAGGTTGGAATCTCAGAAGGAACATGAGTTCCTTCAAGGTTGCCGATAAGCTTTGCTGACGAAACCTAAGCCCATGGCTTCTTACCGTTCGCCCCCAACCATCTTATATCAATGATTTAGAATGCACCGTGATGGCAAGACACCTAGAATGGTGGCCACATTGCAAACTGACTGACTGATAGAATTCAGTCTGCATCAAGCAAAAGACTAGACACATTTTACTGCTTACTGACAAGTGTGAAATCAATTTTCGCTATCTATTTAAAATATTTTAACAAAATATTTCTCGCTGATGAGACAATGACGAAACATTACCTCATCTACTTTTTTAGATTGAATAACCATCTTCAACAGCAACACCAATCGCTACTTCTAACAATCGACAATAGTCTAACACAGTTTTATTATATTCAGATAAAACTGGTGTTACTGTATGCCTATCGACAACGTCAATCATCATTCGAGTTAAGGAGATTCGTGCTGATTTTTCGATCAGCATGAAAACTATTAAGAAAA